TTAGCCCAAGTATCTAAACCTGGCAAAGAATGGCCAGTCCTTCTATATATTGTTGATGAACTGACAATATCAATTCTGGGATTAGGCAATATTAGAAATTAATTTATATAAACTTACAACTAAATAAATTTTATTAACACAAAAATAATAATTACTCAAAACTCATGACTTCCTAGTTATTTTACTTCATGTTACTGTTACGTATAGTCTTGAGGTTAGTATGCCCATTGTCCTCTCCACTTTGAGTGATATTGCATTGGTAGCTTGAAATTGGTCATAGTGGAACTATTTACACCATGGAAATTGGAAACTCTACAAATTAGTGTATGATGAATTGTTTTGTTGATTCTTAGACTCAAGAAAGCAAAAGAGAAAATGTTAATCATGAAGATTGCACTTAAAAATGTGTTATGTCTATAGTCACGCATTGTGGATAATAATTTTCCTCAAAATATTGAGGAAATATTTTTACAGTATGTGAATATTGTTATATGATTTAATGAGGAAGTTGCATATATCATTGACAAATATGTAAGGTTATCATGGATGACTTCATTGTCTTATTTGTATCTTGATCACTAATACGAACAAAAATATCAACTAACATCCATGTTGGAATTTCACTTGTGAATTAATTGCAACCATTGACTGGCAAGGGATTAAAGGATTTAGCAAAAATCAATAAAAGTATTCAGTAAGAATCAATTGGCTATATGGAATTTAGAGGAGTGATGCATATTTTATTATTATATATAATTGTGTACTTTACTGCACATCCTTTATAATAGTAAAATGTATAAATATATAATAGTGTCCCCTCCCCCCATACACACATTTTCCCCAGAGGATCATTTAAACATTTACTGGCATACCACTGCTTACCTCTAAATCTAACTGATATACATATAGTATTATATGCAGTATCAAAATTATTATGTTACTATGTTTATGGGAAGTGACTAAAATGTTCATAGCAAATTCATGATCTGTTTTTTAAAATGTTGATAACTTATATCATTTGGGTTGGGTTCCAGTAAAATTAAAATGGATCTGTCAAATAACATAAAACCTAGAGAAGCTGATGGCTGCAGTTTCTCTTTATTTGCTTGAATGTATGCTTGTTAATTGATATATATTTTTCTTCTTACACAAATTCCAAGCATTATGGGCAACTCAGAAAAAGAACAGACTAAGAAACTGTCTTGATTTTCTTAAGAGTTGCCTGCTGATCTATTAGCATTTGAATCCAATTAAAGCCACTAACCCACATATGGAAATTTAAGTTTAAATTATGTAAAATTAAATCAAATTAAAAGTTCAATACCTTAGTTAAACTAACCACATTTCAAGTGCTCAATATTCATACATGGCCAGTGGCTACCTTATTGAACAAGAAAGATAATAGAATATTTTCATCCTAGCAGACAGTGCTATTCCGTTGGATAGCACCAATGCAGAAAATGCCTCACACACAGAGGACACCCACCCCCCCAATTGTTCACTCAGTGATCACATTTTACCATATTTTTTAAGATGAAAAATTTACTAAAATCAATAAAATTTTTTCAGGAGTACATAAGCCACCGAAATAATCGCATCCTTGGATATAGTTAGATATTTAGCATTTAAGGTAGGGACACTATTCATGGGGCATTTCCCGTGGGTCAGCCATTATACCACTTACACTTCCAACTTCATAAGGCAGGGAGCTGAGGTGTGGAAAAGCTCAGCAACCTCATCTTTCCTAGTCCAGCCAATAGGCAGCAGCAAAGCTTCATCGTGGCCTCAGAGTTTCGGACTCCAAGGCTTGTGCAACTCCTTCTAGCACTCCTTCTCTAAACAAAAATTATGGGAGATGAACAGAACCGTTCAATTTTTGCCTGGATATTTTGGAGGTCATTTTGCCAGGAGGCAGCAGAGACTAAGGCATTGACTCTATAGTCCAAATCCTGGCTGTGCCACTTAGTAGCTGTGCAACATGAACACTTAACCCGTGCCTCAGTTTCCTCCGTTTCTGAATGTGGTCTCAGTATCTATGTCAAAGCGTTGTGGGGCTATTTGAGAGTTAACATGTATAAAGCACTAAAGTGTTGGGGAGGGGGGCGCCCTGAACAGCAGCAGCAGTGTGAGGCAGGTGGGTCTCACCTTCACTGGGCAAGGAAGTGCAGTCCTGGGAGTGGGTGTCACCCAATGGGACTGGGCTACACCCTTCTGTTTAATATAACTCAATCTCTTGCCTTATTTGGGTGGAATTTTGAATGTCTTTCCCCTAAATAAAAACAGAGGTTTGGGGGTGCTCGCTCTCTTGCCTCTTGCCCCTTTGTTGCCCTTGCCCTCCAGTGTGGGAACTGAGGTCCCCGAGCCATCCTTGAACCCGGAAAAAGGTATTTTTCAGTGTTTGCGTGGTCTTTTCGTTGCCAACCCAGTTCACGCCGAGTGACCCTGACTCCGTCGCCTGCACAGCACGTGGGCGATACTAAAGGAAAGCATGGCACAGGATAACTGCTCTAAAAGTGATTTTAGAACAGCTGGCAAACTCTGAAACTTAATTCCACCATCTCATTCCTTTAAGACCTGAACAGACATAACTCATGACAAAGGAGGGACGGAAAGGACTTCCCTCAATTGGGGAACAAATGTAGAACCGTGTGACCTCTCAGTAGAGCTCTCTCAATAGCGTGATTTAAAAGCACGAAGTTGTGACCAGTATTGCCTATTTCCAACTAGGACATGAAATAAAGTGAACTCTCAACTGTATCTCATTAACTGTATCTCATTGACAGGTCTGGCCTACTGTTTTATTATTATTCACTTGTTAGTAAGAAACTGATATTTGAAAGCAATAGGTTTATCTCTTGAACCTAAAATATATTTAATTCATCAGTTATTTTCACCAGTGTGTCATCAGTATTTTCTATGCTGCTCACATTTTTGACCAGGCAGATCAAATGGGGAAAACAATAGCTAACATTTATTGCTCACCTACCATGCTGCAGATGTTCTTCTCACATTGTCACAGACCTGCACAACAAGCATTCCTAGGAAGACACTGCTATCTCTGTCACCTTCGAGAAAGCAGACTCATTAATAATTTGTCCAAGGTCACTCAGCTACTCAGGGGAAAAACAGCATTTGAACCCAGATCCTCTTGATCATAAAGCCCAAGCTCACATGAAGCTGCCACCATTAGCAACAACGTGAAATAATATGAAACAAGGATGAAAGTGTGTGATGTGTCTGTTTCATTACCTTCGGTACATCTGAAGCAGAATTGCTAAAGTACAATAAAAAACATAGCTTCCAGAAAAATCATTAGTGTCATTATCCAGTAACAAGACAGACCCAGATTTGTAGCTGCCAGATAACCACCTTTGATGCAGAATTGTTGAGCAGGTGTGAACTCAGACCCAGGCCTGCTGATGGCTTGCTATCACCCGGGCTGTGTTTAGGAAGTATAGTCTGATTTTGCAACCCCTTCATCAGGAAAAGCAATGCCCCTTTTAAATACATGATTAGGAAAATGAGAATTATGAGTTTGTGTAATTATAAGTGCCTGTGGTAAACACCAAGTTGGTTTGGGAATGGGAGTTGAAGTGCTCCTGACCCTGTTTCCAACCTGTTGGAAGCATTATGTCCTCCCCAAGGAGAATTGTTCCACAGCAATCACGCATCATCCAGACCTTGTCCTGGCTTCCCACGTCCTGCCCTGGCTCTCCTTTGTCTGTACTGATCCCTCACTCCTTGCCTCCTCCATGCCTACCAGCTTGGCATTCTGATGGATTGGCTCCACTGGCTCTCAACCCTCCCACTTTGTTCTTGAGTCCCAGGCTTGACTCCTACATCCTGGCACAGTGCTCGTTTCTTTCTGCACTCCTGGTAACCAAGCTCTTTGGCTCAGTCCCAGGACCCCCTCCTGTGAGCCTCTCAGCCCAGCAGACCTGGAGAAACAGCTCATCATGCCAAACTCTACGCCCCCTCCCCACTTCTGGCCTCTGAAAGCCATGCCCTCAATGTTACCTCACCAACCCCTGGTCTCTGGAGCACCTGTGGAATTCAACTGAATCAGCTCCAGCCCCTGAAATCTCTCTGCCTTGCTAACGCACACTGTGAAAGGGGGCAAAAGTTCTGTGAGTGAGCAATGCCAACTTACCAAGGCTGTTAGAGAGCATGCTGGCAGAGCTAACTGCCAGAACATGTCAATCTTGGTAGAGGGACCAATAGCAGTTCTAGAGGCACAGGCCACACCTGCCCCCCTGCCCAAAACAACTTCTAACCGCTTCACCAAAGACCCTGCTAAGGTTTCCTGCTATATCAGGAGCACTTTCTGATCCTTCATCTGCTCTAATTCCTAATTTTTACAAACCTGGTAAGGCTGAGAAATAAATATAGAGCACCCCAAGCAAGTGAGGATAGTCCTTCCCACAGCAATATATAAAAGGGGAAAGGGGAATGGAGGGTGGAAGCCAACTTTATTTTCCCCACCTCCAACAGGTACAAGGACCCTTCAGATGTTACATGGCTTGCCTATGACTTGCCACTCAAGTGTTTTCCTGAAACAAAACCACCTTCAGTTTGTATACAATTTGGCAAAGTACCTTTTGGAGTCCCTGGACAAAAACAGCAATGTGTGTGGTTTGGGTTCACACGGGGTTCACAGCAGTGTCCCTCTTTATGGAGTTTACAAACTAATGGGGGAAGATAGACATTGAAAAGTCTTATGAGCCTTTCAAACAGTAGAAATGTTATACAAGAGAATTATAGGTACAAAGGAAGCTTCTAGAAGGTGGAGAAACGTGTATAGGACCCAAAGTAGGATTCTTGGAGAAAATGATGCTTCAGATGATGCAGGAGTAGGAGAAAGAGAGTTTAAGGCAGTTGGGAAGGGAGGAGAAGTATTTCAATTCAGTGGAACAGCATGAGTGAAGGGCTTGAGATAGAATAGGGTACATTAAATAAAATTGGAGAGAAAGATGTAGGGTGGAATATAGAGACAGAGAAAGATGCCTGTGATGAAGCCTGTGCTGGTAGGGACATCTGAAAGTGCTGATGAATGCCAGTGGCTCTGATGGTGGTGTGTGCAGAGTCACCAGAGTAATCCTTTGTTAATGTCAGTGCCCCAAGCCTCCAGCCGCTCCATCTAGGGAAGGACAGTGGTTGGAGTTCACGTGGTTCTCAGATGGCTGCATTCTGAGGTGTACCATTTTTCCATCAGTGGTCCCTTTTTTGGTGCATAATAAATGTACATAATAGGGGGGTTTCACTGTAGCATATTCATACATGCATATGATTTTCATCAGTGGTCCTTTGGGTGCAGTGGTCTTTTGCAACATGAAGTACATCCTTTATTGTCTTAAAATCAAATTGTAGGTGGTATGAAGTATTGACCCTAAATAGTTAAAAGTATGGGACAACATTAGCTTATAATGTGGAACAAGTGAATTAAAGGTGTAACTTGTATTAGGAATGGTACTGGGCAGGGATGAAATGTGGAGTATTTTGGAGAGGGGAGGAGAATGGGGGAATTGAACCCAGGGGCATTCTACTACTGAGCTATATCTCCAGATCTTTCTTATTTTTTTGAAAAATAAAATAAAATAATAGGGTAAAATAAGTGAGAGATAAGGCTGAAGCTCTAGGCAGGAGCTAAATCACATCAGCATCTTTCAGGCCACTGAAGAGTTTTTATTTTTATTTTAACTTAAGAAAAACAGGAAGTTGTTATAGGGTTTTGACCACAAAAATGGCATGTTCAGGAAAAAATTGTTCTAGATAGAGTATAGTGATTGAACTGGGTGTGATAGAGATAGGCATACCCAATGGACACATGGTATGTGAAATCTGCTGTTAATTTAGTACCAGCTCCACTGTCTTCACATCTATCTTCATCATAGGGTAGATGCTTGGAACCTCATTTTCCAGAAATTCTTCCTCACAGGGCTCCAGCATAGATACTTCCAGTGACAGGCTCTGTGCAAGATGTGGCAAGAAGAAGGAACACACCATTTCTGTAGTGTGGATGTGCACAGATGCAACGTTCACAGTGGCCCCCAGGCAAGCCTCTGCAAGTCAGCTCCTTTAGCAGAGCAGAGAGTTGGACTCAATGGCTCTTGGCTTTTCAGAATCTCCTGATTGTCACGATTTCCTGAAAGTCAGCAGCAGTTTTTTCCCACCCTTAATGACCCCGGCCTTTCCGAAAGTTATATGTGCCTTTAATCCCCTCTATTAAATTCTTCCTACTTGAAATATCTAAAGTGGTTTCTGCTTTCCCTAGTAAGCCCCAAATGTTAAAATCAGTGAAGACATTCTTACAGCATTTGGGGTGAGAGATTTTGGTGGTTGATCTGGTGTGGATAGCAAGGATGAAGAAGCTGGATTTAATATTATCTTTATGAAGTGGAATCTATAGGACATTGCTGTTAATTGGATGAGGAGAGTGAGGGGGGATAAAGAGGTCAAGAATAACCATTGCATTTTTGGTTTAAAGGTCAGACAGTCTTTCTAAATTTGAAATCTAGTTCACACTGCTGGAAGGAATGTGGACATCAGGGTGTCTCAAGTTGCCAGCCCTCTAGGCCCCTTTCCTGGTGAAACTGCTAAGGCTGAAGAAGAATCAAGGAGTCAAGTGTATGAAGGTGAAGATGTGGTACCCTTTTCAGGCTGTGCAAATCCATTTTCTGGAGATTATGGATCATTCAATGAGTTCTCTTCTTTTTGGAAGCCACTCCAGCCTGCTCTAGAGCAGAGGAAAAATAAGCTAAGCTCAGCCCTGTTTAAATCTTCTCCTAAAAAGAATTGCAAGGGCAATAAACAAGCAGCAGGAGTCAAGGTGAGGGTCAAGGTGCTGGGGATAATCAGGAAGGTCTGGCCAGAGACTACAGAGGGTGTGGAACACCAACAGAGAAAACCAAGTTACAACCTACAGACAAAGTTAGGTTCAAACATCAAAGAGAGAAAGTTCCAACACTGAGCCACAAGAAGATAAGACCACACTACTTGTCACTGGAGGTGGCAAAATCAGAGACAGAGAAGATATGAAGTGAAATTGTATGTGCTCAGAGGAGCTGGCTGTTGAACTGACATTCTAAGCAACATCAGGAATGGGGCAAATTGGATGGTAGGTGTGATGAAGGTCTAGACAGAAAGCATTTTCCTCGCCAGTCTTTCTGTCCAGTGGTCTTTTGATTACAGGAGAACATGGTCCACCCACAGGCTGAGGCCACTAACTACATTCTCTGGAATGATTTCTAAAGTGCGTTACTAGAGAACCATAGCTGTAGGTATATCTCGAATGTGCCATAAAGGAGGCTTTGGGGAACATATGATGGTTTTAGGATAACTGTTCATTTTCTTAGTGATCTCTTTGAGGAATTCCACCCATACATTGTAAGCTTGTTGAAGACAAGGTTCAATGCTAAATCCATAATGCCCAGCACTTATAAGCACAGCACATACTCATTTAATGGATGAGACTGAATAGCAGATTCCAAGACACTTGACAACTTTATTCCATAGGCTAACTATAGCTTTTGTCCATGTGTCATCTGTCTATGGGGAAATATAAGCCTAGTATTCCAACTCAAATGTCAGGAATACCACGCCACAGCAAGGATGAAAACTTGAACTTGAATATCTATAAAGTGGAGTGTCAAGAATTTCAACTAAATAATGGTTGTAAGATGATTGCTCTTATATATGTCCATAGTAAAGTATCCCAAGGTACATTCTTCCAGTGTTCCACTTCCCAATCCCCATCCTAGAGACTAGTTCTTCTGCTCCCTTTTTGCTGTACTGACCTGATCTCCTCTTTTCTCCTTCTACTGCCGAACCCAATTACATCAGACAATTTTCCTCCTTATCTTCTGACCCTAAAGATATTGTACTCTACATAGATCAATGTGGCTATAAATGAATGAAGAACAAAATCCTAGCTGCATTCAGGTGGGAACTATCAGAAGGAGCCTTTATGCTAGAAATTTATCGCTTCAATCCAAATGCAGAAGGCATTGCTTTAGAGACAGAACCGCCAGAGGACAGGTGTGCAACTTAAAAAGGAAGAAAGTCATTTCCCAGAAAACATGCAGTTGCAATTTGCATTCTACAAGAAGAGCAAACCCTGTTGCATTTCCTCCCTAAGCAGATTTCTGCAATTATTAGAACTTGAGAATACAGATGTTAAAGACCCTGTGCTTAAGGAGTTAAGTTTGTGCAACTACAGATGGAAAGAGTGAAAAGTTTCTGAAACTGGAATTAAATACCCCAGTATACTTAAGGAAAACTATCAATACATGTGGCATGAGGGGGGGTGGGGAAGAGCCACTGATAAAAAAAAAAAAAAAGAAGAAGAAGAAGAGGACCTGAACAAGCCACTACTTTAGTCACACCACCACAGAATGACTGATGCCAATCTAATATCTATTCTCTGTTCCCTCTAGTCATTGGGAAGCTTCAGCTAGAAAACTGTATTTCTAGTCTCCTTGCAATAGGACTGAACAATAAGATATAAGCAGAGGTCATTGGATGGGGCTTATAATTGGAATTGGAATTAAATACCCCAAGAAAAGCTTAAAGAGACCTTGTTCAGCTGGCAGTCCCCCTTTTATCCTTCCTGCAGGAGTTCCAGAAAACATCTTATGACCATGATGCAATCTTGAGGATAGGAGCTGGTGGAGAACACAACAGAAAAGCAGAAATTTGGGATATTGGCACTACTATCACCTCAATTTACCTCTGAATTCCTTACCTTCTGACTTCTTGTATGCTAGCAAAAAAAAAAAAAATTGCCTTCTTTGATTAAGCTGCTGTTATTTTGTCTTATTTAAGCCATAAATTCTATCCAAAATAGAGGCAATTAAGGTAGCTGGCACTAGAGGTGCAGCTCAGTGGTAGAGGGCTTATCTAGCATGCAGGAGGCCTTGGATTCCATCCTCAGAAAAACACACACACACAGACACACACTCACACACTCCACACATCTACTTCTCATGGGCTGCTTTCACAGCATCACAGACAGGAGACTCCTCACCTTTGGAAGAGCTTGGAATTTCTAAGGCCATCAGAGGTACAGCTCTTAATTAATACAGATAGTCTAGATTTCCATCAGTTTCCTTATGAGACAGAATTACAAATTAAAGTATAACTTTACTTTGGGTAATTAATGTATATGAATTCTTGATTTAACTACTGGATTAAATTTCAAACATTAGTTCTAATTTTAAGTGCAGATTAAGTCCTCCTTAACTAGACTTTCTGTTTCTTATATAAAGTGGCACTCTGTAATGGATAACTCCGGGACTGAGGATGTAGCTCAGTGGGAGAGCGCTTGCCTAGCATGTATGATATTCAAAGACCTGACAAAGCCCACAAAAGGTAGGTGAGAAGAGTGGCTGTTTGGGACATCTTATTCCATTTCAGTATGCTTCACATTATATAATATGCTTCTCTTTGAAGATTTTTCCAAGAATTTTCATCAGCAGTAACAAGGAAAACAGAGGTTAAAAGGTGCCTTCTAACTGCAGCCTCTCTGGGTTCTATAATCCAGCTAGTTCAAGGAATACAGAGGAAGGGTAAGAATCACGTTATGGAGATCCCTATGGGTGTGTCATATTTTCCACACTCTTCTTTTCTGGCATCGTTATGGACCAGCCTGCATCAGTATAAGAAGCATATGGATAACAGGAGGGACCAGGCAGATTGGTGGCAAAAATGCCAGGGGAACTCCTTTACCTAAAAGGGCAATCATTGTTAGATGGAGAGGCAAAAATGCTTAAAAAGAAAATATCTATATGAATGACTTGAAGATATAGGATATATGAAGGAAATCAATTAGTTCTAAAAATGACTATAATTTTTGAGTCTACATTTTTTTTTGCATATTAGAAACTCTGGGAGCACTGAGAACACATTAAATTTGGAATTGCCTTCCAGGGAGTTTGTGACAATCACATAAATACAAATATATAAGTGATTTCAGCAGGAATAGAATGTATTTCCTATCCTTAATATCATCTGCTCTTTGGTACTATGCAAAGACTAATAAGTGGATAAATGTCCTAAAAAGTGTTACATAAGTATAAAACGTGATTCATGTGTATATTTACAACCATAAAGACACGTTAATTGGTAGGCTACAGAAAGACTTAAGTTCTTTTACAAATTAAAAAGGGGACACTTCTGCGCTGTGGCTAAAGTGCTGAGTATGCAACTGGGAAACCTAACCTTCTATTCCAGGATTCTAAATCTGGTACCTTCAGCAAATAACATCATCAATATTTTAAAGTCATATTTGGCTTCTGGTGAGTAGCAGTGGGGTTTCCCTCCCTCCTAAGATCCTTCTTGGTGCTATCTTTCTTTCTGCAGGGTGTGTGACAGCATTAACCCTTCTCCACAAAAGAAGATTCCTACCACCTTTCCCCCTGGCTTCGATTTAAGCATCAACTCCAAACTTTTAGATTCTTATGTTCTTTGATGAATAGGTTATATCTTCTGTTTGAGTAAAATGACATAGAACAACTATAAATTCTATCCAAAACAGAGGCCATTAAGGCATCTGGGACTAGAGGTGCAGCTCAGTGGTAGAGGGCTTGGCTAGCATGCTGGAGGCCTTGGATTGCATCCTCAGCAACACACACACACACACTCCACACATCTGCCCCCCATGGGCTGTTTTCACAGCATCACAGGCACGAGATTCCTCACTTTCAGAAGAGCTTGGAATTTCTAAGGCCATCAGAAGTACATAATTCATTTAGTTCAGGTCTGGGGTCACCTCTCCATGAGTCACCTCTCCAGAAGAGCAGTAGGACTTGTAGAGCACTAAAGAGGTAGAAAACCTATGTTCCTAATGGAACTTTAATCTTCTCAGGAGAATTCTGTCTTTGTTGGAAATCCAAGACATTGCAAGCAAGTAAGATAAGACCTTCCAAAGCCACAAGGTGAATATAATGAATGTAAGGCCTAGAATACTTAGGAGAAAAACACCTGGGCCAAATTGTTAATCTCTGTAGAAGTGATTTCCCTATTTAACCAAAGAAAACCAATGGGAGCAGCTTTCTCCACTACTTACAAAAAGGAGAAAGATGGGTATCTTTCATTGGAGGCACGCATCATAAAATCATTAAATTATAAGCTCAAAGGGGCTTTGAGCTCATTTTGTACCTTCTTGGCTTTCAGCAGAACAGCATTAAGCCTTCCTAAAAAGATAAGACTCAATCTATTTTAAACATGTCCAAAGCGGGCAGTCCAGTTTTTGTTCCTCTGTCAGGGGAATTTTTTCCTTTCTAACCTGACCACAGGTGAATTCTTCCTATTACAAACCTGCAGGCTTCACATTAGAGTTTGGCTTGGTTTGCTCAGTTAGATGGTGAACAATCAGTCACCATTAGCCTTTTCTACACTAACCTTCCTCTGTACATCTGTATGAAATAATAACAGTTAATTAGGATGTTTGGACTTAAATCAATAAATATGGAGCTAGATGCCAAATGGATGACTACTGACAGCCAAAAGACTGCTACCCATCTCTGTTATACCTTCTTGGTTCTCTGCCATCAGCTCTAGTGCTAACATCTCTCCCTTCCCCCATCTCTCTTGCAAAATCCCACCCTTCCACATTCACACACATACTCCACAACAAATGTGCATAAGCACACCCCTGAAGCAGGTAAACATTTAGACTTTAGCCCTCACCATTCACATTAAGGGGTAACAGTAAAGGGTTCAGACTCAGGCATACACTGGGCTTAAATCCTGCTCTGGGACCTTTGACACATTTTGTAATCTCGCTATGTAAACATTTTCTCATCTATGGAATGCAGAGAATAATAGTATCTACCATATGCAGGGTCAGTACTATAAGGATTAATGAGTTAATACATGAAAAGCCCTTAGAATGGAGTCTGGTACACTAATCCTAAATGCTATGTAGTTGTCAGCTAATAACAATTGTCAGGCAATAACAATTGCCCTCCTTGCAGAAAAGGGACACTTGGAGACATCAAACTATTCCTGGTTGGGGCTGGGGTTGTGGCTCAGCAGTAGAGCGCTCTCCTAGCATGTGGGAGGCCCTGGGTTTGATCCTCAGCACCACATAAAAATAAGCAAATAAAATAAAGGTATTGTGTCCAGCTGTAACTAAAAAAAATCAATATTAAAAAACAAAACACTATGCTTGGTGTCCAGAACAATAGTTTGAGAAAGAAAAGGGGTAGGACTCAAGTTTAAGGAAGTGGATAAGCAAGAAGTGTCACCAGGGTGAAAGGTTAAAAGACACAGGACCTAGAACAAAAACTGCAGGGACAGGGCAAAAACAGATATTTAACAGGGAAAGATAGAAGATAACAGAAGGGAAAAGAAGAGAAAGAAGGAAAACAAGAAGAGCAAAGGGGCATGAAAGGGAAAGACAAGAAGAGGAAAGTGAGAATCAAAAATAACAAAGGAGATCAAAAATTGAAAAATAAGGCCATTTACAGTTGAGCTGGGTATCAGGAGAGGAAAGAGAGGAAGAGAAAACCAAACTATTGACTACAGGAATATGGAAGCTTGGTACAGAAGGGATTGGAGAGAGAGGAGAGAAAAGTGGTAACAAAAAGTCTTCATAGGCAGACAGTATCTTCTTTCTGTGTCGTTAGATTATAGAAAGTGTGTATGCTAACTTAATCCACCCTTGATCCTCAAGGTGCAGGTCCTGGTTCCTCCTGTTTTAACTTGCAGTAGAAACTGGCCCAGACTTTGTCCCTAAGGTTTGCTTTGGTCAGATGTCTGACTTGGTCTCCTCTGATCTACAGACAACGCCAAGATACAAGGATTCGGTCTTTACTTCATTTTCATAAGTTTAATGATCATTTTTCAACCCTATTCCTACTCCAAACAATCAGATCCTGTAAAGGGAGCTGGTATTTTAATTTTTTTGTTTGTTTGTTATTGTTGTTAACCTTAATGACATCCTCCCATTCCTTCTTTTTGGACAAAACAAGAGGGGGAAAAACGATTCAGTAGTGCAGGAATATGCAGCTTTAGGGTTCTAACTTGCCCTCCCCACCAAAGGGAAGTACTCATTCAACTACTTGGAAACAGGAGAGACGTTCGGATAAAGGTTTAAATACAACAGCATTGAAAAATACCTTTTAAGTATTATCTTTATTAAATTGCCTATTTGGTGCAAAATTATATCCCCTATTTGAGGAAGTCGAGAGACCTTCAGGGTCCTCGTAAGGAGTCTAGGAATTGAATCGGTTCATCTCGCCAGGGTGAGCCCGGGTCGCCGCCGCCGCCGCCCAAGTCACGAAGCCAGACGCGCTGCGCGTCTCTGTGCAGGACTCGGGAGACTGCAGCAGCTCTAGCGGTGGAGGCCGTGGCCCGGCGGCTCTTGGAGGCGGGGAAGAGACGCGACTCTAGCAGCCACGTGACCTCCTTCCAGCCGCCGCTTCCAGCGACCCAGATCCGTCCCCGGAACCCGCGCCCGCCGGGCCTGAGGCTGGGGGTGGGGGTAGCTGCCGGGAGGACACGTAGCGACGGCCCCTATCCCTGCTGCGCTCCAGTGCGTGTACATTTGGTGTTCTGCTACCCTTGGTTCACGTGCCACTGACAATAATGAATGTTTCGGAAATCACCAGAGGAGAATGCAATTATTACTCTAAGTGCAAGAAAAAAAGCTTGGCTTTAATTTCTGTTTGTTCAGGAGATTAATATATATTTCCTCCATCTCACCCCTCGCAGACCAAGTTCCGGCAGCACGGGACCGGAGACCTGGGGGTCCCGCAAGACACTTTCCCCTAGCCTCCCAGGACCCTGTCTCCTGCCGCTTAGGGCGGCGTGGGCAGTGCTCAAACCGGGGCACCTCCGGGTAACTCTCACTAGCAGTGAGTGAGTCATGCTCCTGGTGTGGCTCTGCAGAAAGGTAGCCCCGCTCGTGCTAGCCTGTGCTCCCGCGGCTGCTGGGCGAGCGCGCGCGCGCGCACGGTTTCCCCGCGCAGTGATGTGGCAGCAGCGGCAGGTCGGATCACGTTGCTGGCCCTGTGCTGGTACCCGTTTGAGAGAGGATTAAGGAGGGAGGCTTTGGAGGTGCCAGCGGTAGTAAACGTGGGCTCGGCACACTCCCGGCGTGGCTTATCGCACGGGGGATGGGGGCTCAAAGAAAGAACGTTAGCGTCACCAGAGGCGCAGAGGGGCGGCGGAGTTTCGCCAGAGAGTGATAAATGCTGCATTGCTTTTCTGTGGCTGCCCCTCTTGTGCCACCCCCTCCACCCTCCCTACCCCCGCTCTCTCCTCGCCGCGTTCCTCCGCAAGCACAAGAGGCCCCAAACGTCGTCATCTGCTGCTGTGATTAGTGGCACCGCAATTCCGGCTGCTGCGGGAAGTTTAGGTGGCCCAGGGACAGTGCGTCTCCGAAAGGCATTAGGATTGCGACATTCTGACCCAATAATTACATCTTCATTTATCTGAAATCCCTCGTGGAGCTGATTTCAAATTGCCCCTTTTCGGGGCAACCTCCAACCCGCGCCAAGGGTTCTCCCGGCCACTGAGCGGTGAGCAAACAAGTCTCCAAAATTTCCTTCGGAACTGAAGTTTACCCACCGCGAAATCTCTCTTGTCATTCTCTAATCCAAACCAACAGCCCATCAGTAGAAAAGCAAAAAGCCACGTTCACGTTTCTGCACCGTAATGACGACCGAACCGCGGGAGTCGCGTTTCCAAGCCAAGGAAGCCCCGGCTGCCCCGCACCCCGGCCCCCTCCCCCCTCAGACTGCATCGCCTTTGGGAAGATGAATAGCTTGGCCGAAGTTGTTTTTCCTTTCCGGTGGCCCTGATCAGGTGTCCCCGCCCCCTCCCGCCGCCGCTCGCCTTCTCCCGACGCCCCCTCCCGGCCCGGCCCCTCCTCCCCCGCCCCCCTCCGGGCTGGACCGCGGATGGTACGTTCCGCACGTGAGCTGGGTGCTGGTCTGGCCGGCGACGCGCGTGCCCTGTGGCCAAACACTGCCCGGAGTGAGAGCAAACTACCATCGCAGTGGGGCCGGCGCGAGTGTGTGTGTGCGTGTGTGCCAGAGAGCAAGCGACCGCGGGGGGGTGGGGGGACCAACTGCTTCACACTTTCGACACTGCACTGAAGAGGGAGAGCTAGAGAGAGAGAGACTGGAGACGCACGGATCCCCCCAAGATCTCCCAAGGCTACCGTCCCACAGATTATAGAACAGAGACCCCAAAATCGAAACAGAAGAAACAAACAGCGATTGAACATGGACGAAGGAATTCCTCATTTGCAAGAGAGACAGTTACTGGAACATAGAGATTTTATAGGGTAAGGTGCAAGCACCCTTGCGAATATCTGTCTGGGCTTCGGTTAGATTTTTTTTTTTCCTCCTCCTCCAGAAAGTGGTATGGAGCGGATAAGGGCAGAGCCCCTCCCGGAATGGGTGCCTGATGATGATTTCTGTTTTGCAGACTGGACTATTCTTCTTTGTATATGTGTAAACCCAAAAGGAGCATGAAGCGAGACGACAGCAAGGTAAGTGTAAGTTTCCGATGTTTCCCATAACCTGCCTGGATAGTTAATTAGGGCCATTGATTTCACAGTGAAGCTCTGCCCGCAAATATATTCCAGCCTGTGAGCTTTCCCAACTGTGAATTTTAAGTGGCTTTCTGGATACTCTCAGGGGTATATTAAACATCATACCTGAATTTAAATTGCATTTCAAGAACAGTCCAGAGGAAAGAGGTTTCTTGGGCATAGTTCTATCACATAGTATGTTGTGGAGGGGTGGGAGTGGGAGGGTTGCTGTGTCCAGTGATTGTTTAGCTTATTGTTTTCTCTCTTCCACGACACTTATATTAAGGATACCTACAAATTACCGCACAGATTAATAGAAAAGAAAAGAAGAGACCGAATTAATGAATGCATTGCTCAGCTGAAAGATTTACTGCCTGAACATCTGAAATTGACAGTAAGATGCACATTTTCATTCTTTGCTGCTCTCCAAGGGCGTTATAATAGCCTGGTACGACTTACAGAGATGTAAGAAAAAAATGTAAATATTAGAGGCCTGACTTAAAACTTGTTCTATAGTGTACAGTTTCCCAGTCTCAGAATGGGTGTTTCAAGCTGAAGGCAAGAAAGCATTTATAACCTGTCTTAAGGAAAGCTCAAGAAGTGTAAGAATAGTAGTTCTTTCAAAGTGCTTGCCTAAGTTGCTGTGCTGAATGGAGAGCCATCAAGCCAAATGTGTGCTTTTAAGTAACCAAGTGCCCCCTTCTCTTTTGCACCACTGCAGACACTAGGGCATCTGGAGAAAGCGGTAGTCTTGGAATTAACTTTGAAACACTTAAAAGCTTTAACAGCCTTAACCGAGCAACAGCATCAGAAGATAATTGCTTTACAGAATGGTAAGTCAGTTCAGGGAGGCCCGTTAGCCTGCTGAAGCGGGGCAGCCCGCAGACAGCACCCCCACCCCTTCAGTGGACTCACTCTCACTTGTGAAAATTGCTTATACTTTCCCTTCATTGGCAAGTGCCCATTTCCCGAAGCATCCTAGAGGCTTTCAGCTGAACCCGGAATCAGATTTTAAAGTGGCGGTTGCGCCCTCTCCACTTAGGTTTTTCAGCTGGGAGGACAGCGCTCCCCCCCCACAACCCCCGCCGCCCCCCCTTCTCTCGGCAACCGGTGGATTATATCACTCGAATACTGAGGAAAAAACGAGATCACTTTAGTCAATGTAGGGCCCACGTGATAAGCAGATGTTTTAACGTCGGTATTTTTCTTCTTGCCTCCATTCCTGTCCCTACCCCCCACCCCCTGTTCATCCTAGGGGAGCGATCTCTGAAATCGCCCATTCAGTCCGACTTGGATGCGTTCCACTCGGGATTTCAAACATGCGCCAAAGAAGTCTTGCAATACCTCTCCCGGTTTGAGAGCTGGACACCCAGGGAGCCGCGGTGTGTCCAGCTAATCAACCACTTGCACGCCGTGGCCACCCAGTTTTTGCCCACCCCCCAGTTGTTGACTCAACAGGTCCCTTTGAGCAAAGGCACTGGCGCTCCCTCCGCCCCCGCCCCCACCGGGTCCACGGCCGCCCCCTGCCTGGAGCGCGCAGGGCAGAAGCTCGAGCCCCTCGCCCACTGCGTGCCGGTCATCCAGCGGACTCAGCCCAGCGCCGAGCTCGCCGCGGAGAACGACACGGACACTGACAGCGGCTACGGCGGAGAGGCCGAGGCCCGGCCAGACCGCGAGAAGAGCAAAGGCGCAGGGGCGAGCCGCGTCACCATCAAGCAGGAGCCTCCCGGGGAGGACTCGCCGGCGCCCAAGAGGATGAAGCTGGATTCCCGTGGCGGCGGCGGCCCGGGGGGCGGCGCGGCGGCGGCGGCGGCCGCACTCCTGGGGCCTGACCCGGCCGCTGCGGCCGCGCTGCTGAGACCCGACGCCGCCCTGCTCAGCTCGCTAGTGGCGTTCGGCGGAGGCGGGGGTGCACCCTTCGCTCAGCCCGCCGCAGCGGCCCCCTTCTGCCTGCCTTTCTACTTCCTCTCGCCTTCCGCGGCCGCCGCCTACGTGCAGCCTTTCCTGGACAAGAGCGGCCTGGAGAAGTATCTGTACCCCACGGCGGCTGCCGCCCCGTTCCCACTGTTGTACCCCGGCATCCCCGCCCCAGCTGCCGCCGCCGCTGCTGCTGCAGCGGCCGCCGCGGCCGCCGCCTTCCCCTGTCTGTCCTCGGTGTTGTCGCCCCCTCCCGAGAAGGCGGGCGCGGCTGCTGCCGCGACCCTCTTGTCGCACGAGGTGGCGCCCCCTGGGGCGTTGCATCCCCCGCATCCGCACGGCCGCACCCACCTGCCCTTCGCCGGCCCCCGCGAGCCGGGGAACCCGGAGAGCTCTGCTCAGGAAGATTCCTCACAGCCAGGAAAGGAAGCCCCCTGAGTCCTTGAGCCCTTCCTTAGAAGGGATGGAGGTTTAAGCGGAATAATAATAATACAAGTTAAAACACCCTTAATGTTTTTAAGGGAGGAAGCGTGATAGATGCAGGACAGGCTTAAGGGGGGGAAACAGGTGTTTTGTGTACATTTGGAGTTCCTGTTTTGCTCAATTCTCACCACCCCATCCTCCGCACACTAATATCCCCTTACCCCCCACATACACCAGCTGTTAAAGATCCTCTGCGATAGCTATTGGTTCTTTTTTTAGTTCCCTTGATAAGTTTTGTCTCCTTTTAGGCCATCTTCCATTATCTTTTAAAATGTGGAACCTAATTCTAGAGAAAGTTAAGAAGGGTCTTCTCTGTGGGTGACCTCATTGAACCAGGGAGGGGAGAAGGTGCCAAGTTCCTTGACTGGAGTTGATAGAGGACAGCAGGTAGTCTTTACATAGAGCCTTGTTTCAGGGCTGCCCTGCTTGTTTTAGGATGAGGTCCACAACGCATTGAGGATCTTTTTAAGCTCGGCATTTTGAAAGGCATATATTTTTCAAAGAAGTGAGGATACAGTTGCCCACACTGCGACCTATTCTGAAGTGGTTAAAATGGTATCTTTTACTAACTTGCACTTGTTTTGAGAGACACAGAGTTGGGCCATCGTCAGCACCAAGTCAGGGAAGATGGATGAAGAAGCCCAGAACCATTCTTACCATCTTGTGCTTGCACTTTATTGAGAAATTGACCATGAATCAGTTGGTTCATCTTAATATTCTCTCTCTCTCTCTCTCTCTCTCTCTCTCTCTCTCTCTCTCACACACACACACACACACACACATACAAATATATGTTACATATGTTACATATATGTTGCATATATATATATATATGTATGAACTGCATCTATTCTCATTTAATCCATCTTGTTTCTAAATTTCTGTAATCTTACTGTAAAAAACAAAAAGTGCACTGAACTTAAAAAAGAAACAAGTCCAAACTGATGTATCCTATATTCTTGTTAGGTCATAAAAGTGGAGGAAAGCTTGAAACTGGTCAGTTGTGGTTGGAAATGCTGTAAAGATGTGGAAAGAAGCCCTGTAAGGCCTTCCTATCTCCAACTCTATGTATTTTCTGGAGACCAAACCAGATACCAGATAATCACAAAGAAAGCTTTTTAAATAAGGCTTAAACCAGGACCTTGTCTAGATATTTTTAGTTTGTTGCCAAGGTAGCACTGTGAGAAATCTCACTTGAATGTTATGTAAGGGGTGAGACACAACAGTCTGACTGTGAGTGAAGAAAATATCTGGGTCTTTTAGTCAGTTTGGTGCATTTGCTGCTGCTGTTGCTACTGTTTGCCTCAAACGCTGTGTTTAAACAACGTTAAACTCTTAGCCTACAAGGTGGCTTTTATGTACATAGTTGTTAATACATCCAATTAATGATGTCTGACATGCTATTTTTGTAGGGAGAAAATATGTGCTAATGATATTTTGAGTTAAAATATCTTTTGGGGAGGATTTGCTGAAACATTGCACTTTTGTTACAATGCTTATGCTTGGTACAAGCTTATGCTGTCTTAAATTATTAAAAAGCAAATAAATAAATACTGTCTGCAAGAAACCAGCTGGTTTAGAAAAGTTTAGTATATGAAGATAAACTAGAAATTATCTTTATATTCTAGTATTTTCAGCACTCCATAAATTCTATTACCTAAATATTGCCACACTATTTTGTGACTTAAAAATTCTTACTAAGGAATAAAAACTTTCTATATGATATGAGATTGTCTAATAATTAAAAAAAGACATAATGGATGCTCAGTTAGCTTTAAAGTATTTGTAAGTATAAAAACACAAAAGTCATTAAGGTTCTCAGATATACAACTTTTTTTTGTTTGGCCTGATATCACATATTTCCAACCTCTTGCAAGCCTGCAGGCTCTGGCTGTGTCTACTTGCTTATTCCAGTGTATCCTAATGAAAAGCTCAACAGAAAAACCTACCAATAACTTGCATGGTTTGTTTATGTTCAACCCAATTTGCTCATGTTTTTATAGTTGTCAAGATTTTCACTTTCTGTCTGTGACATCAGGCAGCCTCTTCTACACAGTCTGGTGTTTTCCTCTTTTACTGGGGTCCTGATTAAGTATATTACCACCTCAGGATGCTTAATTTCTCCAAGTATTTTGATTCATTAACTTTTATAAAATAACTCTGTCATGGATGGAATAAGTTCATCATGGAGTTCAAGAAACAATTTCTAGACCTTTACCATATTTATTATCAAACATGTGACTTGATACAGATGGAGTGAAGGATTGTCAGTGTTTAATTCCTGTAGTGTCCTCAAACTCCTTGATTTGTGAAAATGATAGCCTAAATTTATAAGACATAGTGAAAGTGCTCCCTCTGCTGACATTATGGAAACTCAACTGCAAGTTACTGAATATGGGGCTGGAAGGAATGGCTCATCCAGTTCCCTGAATTTTTATAAGAAAACTAAGTCCAGAGCTATTGGTATCTTCCCAAGGTGACATAGCTACCTACAGCCAGCACTAGAGGCCAGGCCTGCTGTAGTCCTCAGCCAGTGAACTACTTTCCACTGCAGCATCTTGGTCCAGGTAAGATGAATTTGATTGGGCAAATTCCTGAAACTAAATGAGTAAACCATAGGAACAAAGGAAATTTAAATGAACCTTAGAAAGCTCTTTAAGATTTTTGAGCATTTCTGATTTATTAAACTTTAGAAGGATAGTCTTTCCAATTAAACCAGAATCATGGAGAAAGCAGCATTTTAAATATTTTGAGCTACATTTGAATGCTATTATTACAGTAATATTAGTTTCATAATTTTTAAAAAAGATTCAAAGTAAATCAGAAGTTAATAAAATGTTTTAGCATTTGTATAATTTTTGTGTGATAAAATAGAAAAATTTAGGATAGGACCAGACTTGATAGATCAGTTTAGTCCAAATGCCTTGATAGCATCAGCATAATAAAATTAGGACAGAAATGCAAATGCAAAGTAATATTGTCTGTTGCACTTAAGAATATAATTTTTGTTTATTCATTAATTTTAATGGATTGAAATCTGAATTATAATTCACTAAGGAGCATTCTATATCTGCAGTGGTCAAATTTCAGCTAAATTGCTTTGTGGATCATGTGAATTTCCAATTTTAAGAAAAATATGAATCTTGAGAATGGTACTATTCCAATGAATTTTAAATACATATATTTTTCAACAGACGTTATATTGAATTGATAAATGTCCTTTTTCCCCAAAGAACTAAACTTAAGCACATTTTAAAGGTACTAGCAACTATAGCTATGAAAACATGACTGGAATTTTAGTTCCTATCATTGTGAAACTACTTTTCATTTAGTTCTCTGTAACTTACTATATAGGCTGTAACTTTGGTTATTGCCTGTCACCTGGGATTTGTTCAAATCTTATGTAGAAGGAGAGGCTCAGCTTGTTCTTGTCTGTGTCACAAGTCAATTATTGACTTCTCCATGGGAGGTGATTGCCAGTGGAGACCTTGCAAAGATATGGCTGGGCAAACAGACGAAAGCCTTTTACTTTAGATAAAAACGAATAGAACTCTCATGAATGAATTAAGACAAGTATAATGCCAAGAGCTGGCTGTACTATTGTGATAAAGGTATTCTACTTCAGATAGCAGTCTAATACTTTATGGGGTTTTTTTTAATTCTGAAATTTTGGACTTTCAGATTAATTTACTTAGGCCTACCCATTGTTCTCACTATGTTATTTTAAATAAGTTCAAAGTGGATTTGCAGTGCATGCTAAAGTCCCAGCTTTTCAGGGGAGAGTTTAAGTAGGGGATTGACATGGAAAATTATCACATATTTTCTGTAATCAAGATGGGATTTACACTAAAAAACATGTGCAATTCATGTACTTTAAAAATATGCTATTTTAGGAATTGTATATTTATCTTAAAATTTCTTGTACTTGTTCAATGAAAATTCCTCTCAAATATAAAACTGCTTTTTTTTTTACAAACTGATACTTAAAAATTCTAAATTCAGTGATATCCCACAAAACAACAGTTTAAACAAACTGTGTTCAGGTGCCAATGCCATTTTATTTTTTAAAATCTTACTGGAAAACATACTAAAAAGTTTTACACATATCCTCTTACATGTTTTTGGAAAAAATACCCTGAACATATTAAACCTTTCTCAATTCAGAGTCGCCATTATAAATATCACTCTATACTCTCGAAGAGTATTTGCTCCTGTACTGATTCTTATTGGGTTCTTACAAAGCCAGGCTGTCAGCTGTCACTTCTTGATGGTCAGAGTGCTACCTCCATCCCTTATCTAATTTGCTACCTCTGATTTACTGTGGGCTAGGAGACCATTTAAACAAAACCACACCCATCTGAAATGTGTCTAAAATTAGAATAAATAGGTTCTAACAGAGGACCTGAGGGACTCTTCTGTACATAAATTGTGTGAGTTTGTAGACTCTCCCGAGTCTTCTTTTTATCATTGTGTCCTTTAACTTCCAGATTCTCAGCTATGTTCCATATCAGACTCTTTATTCAAAAGCTTCAAATACTTCTTGTATTTCTCTATCATTTTCTTACATAAAAATAAAAGCAACTTGCTAACGGTTTTAGTCCACAGCTAACAATAAATTTTCATGTCAAAACAAATTATTTGATTGAACACTTCTTTCTCTCATGTTGGTTAGAATAGGGGACCAAGGGACATTTATGAAAACGGATTCAGCATTTTGACTCATAGATGACCCTAGCTCCTGCTTCTCCAGTGTAACCTCTCACTGACCTTGGGCTTTAGGGGTGCTGATCCAGCAAAAGCATTCTGACAAACTGGCAGGATGGGTGTGTAGGCCTGGATGCTGCTTCTGTATTTAGATACACCTACTGCAGAGCCTCTGGGGAGTGGTTTCAGACTCATTGATTGTGGCATACTCCTTTTCTTTTGGACTTAATAAATAGCATCGGGATTCTGATTTTTGCTGGTGTGGGGATGGGGATTGACCAGAGATCCAACCCCTGGCCTCTAGCATGCCAGGCAAGCACTGTACCACTGGCCTAATACCTGTAACTCCAAACATTTGTTTTGCTCTAATTTTATGCAAGATGCTGTAGTACACGCTGGAGAATCAAAGAAAATCTCAAAATCTCAAGCTCCTGAAACATTCTAAAACAAATTATATTGCAATGTAGTGTTGGAAGGGTTGGACACAAAGATCAGGTGGGAAGACAGGTTGCAACTTCCTATAGGTAGATCAGAGGCAGCCTGGGGAAGTAGCTAGGTTTTACAGAAGAAACAGATAATAAGTTCATGAGATCATGTCCAAGAAGGTAACTCTGGCACAGACCTATCTAATGCTAAGCTAATCTTCAGGGACAATTTAATATTATATCTGCACTGAGGTCTGACAAAGATTTCCTAACAGTTTGGTCTCTTTAGAATTTGACTGCCCTGGGCTGGGGTTGTGGGCTCAGTGGTAGAATGCTCACCTAACACACACAAGGCCCTGGGTTCAATCCTCAGCACCACATAAAAATAAATATAAGAATTTGACTGCCCTCATGGCTCTCACCAGCATCTCCTCCTGAGGATCTGAACCATGAACTGGGACTAGGGAGTCATGACATTTCCTACTACAATGGGAGATATGGTACCATCCATCACATAATATCTTATGCAGAGAAATGACAACAGGTATCTGACAAGCAGCTCAGTCTCACCTCCTCCATGAATCTGTTCTACAAGAAAAGCTAATGGTGATTTCTTTCCTTTCACATAAGGG